TCACCATGGAGATGTGGAGCAGGCTCAGCTGGGGGCTGCCCACAAGCCAGGCTTTCCCACTTCCAGGTCTCCATGGCAACCAGGGAGCAGGCCCAGCTTGGAGCTGCCCACAGGCTGGGCTTGTTCTCCTGCTCCTGGATTCCCATGGCGACCAGGGAGCAGGCCCAGCTTGGGGCTGCCCGCAGGCCGGGCTTTCCTGCTCCTGGATCAGGCCCAGCTTGGGGCTGCCCTCATGCTGGGCTTTCCTGCTCCCAGATCAGGGGCAGCTTGGGGCTGCCCACAGGCCGGGCTTTCATGCTCCCTGATCAGGCGCAGCTGGGGGCTGCCTACAGGCCGCTCTTTTCTACTTACTGATGGCCGGATCACCACAGTGACCCAGGGCCAGCAGCACTTTCCTGCTCTCCAATAGTCATAGGGTCCCAGCTGGGGGCGGGGCTTAGGCGGCACAGGGGTCCCAGCTGGGGGCTCAGGTGGCACATAGGGTTCGCAGCTGGGGGTGGGGCTTATGCCCCACTGCCCAGGGCTGCGCATGGTGCCCGGATGGCAGCTCGCGCTGTCCCGCCCTGCCTGTAGTATAGGATAGAAGCCTGGTGCACAGTGAAAGCAGTTATCTGGTTTTTGTTTAGCTTCTATAACTAAAACTCTGTTGCCATCACTGCTGCTCTAAGCTCTGAGCCCACTGCTGGCTGAAAGCAGCCATCTGGGCTTTGCTTAGCTTCTATAATTGCAACATTGTTGCATCCGGAGCTCAGAGCTGGGCTGCCGCAGGCAGGGAACCTTGGCTTCCTCTGTCACTGGAGCAAGCAAGCCTCCTGTTCGCTTGAGCTGCCTGGCTGCTGGCTACCATCTTGGTTGGCAGTTAATTTGCATATCCTGCTGGTTAGCCAATGGGAAGCGTTTGGGGGTACGGTCAATTCGCATGTTTCTCTTTTATTAGATAGGATATCTTTATTGATATTTACAGAGAGGAAGGGAGAAGGATAGAGAGTTAGAAACATTGATGAGAGAGAAACATCGATCAGCTGCCTCCTGCACACTCCTCCTGGGAATGTGCCTGCAACCAAGGTACATGTCCTTGACCAGAATCGAACCTGGCACCCTTCAGTCCAAAGGCCAATGCTCTATCCACTGAGCCAAACCAGTTAGGGCCTATCTTTGTTTTTGAATTGAGAAACAAATATTCAAAAAATAAATGCAAAAGAGTACATAAAATATAAAATACACAGTTTAAGGAATCATTTTAAGGTAGCTATTTATATAACCAGATCTCAAATCATTAGAACACTGACAGCAGCCCAGAAACTCCCCTTGTAGTCCCTTCCTAATCAACCAGCTTCTCCCCACATAGCTTCTGGCAATAATACTACCCTAGTTCCTGTAATAAGTGTCATTTTTAATTCTTTTTAGTGTTACCACCTATGTCCACACTTAATGCCATTTATACTTTTTGATGGTTTTGAACTTTTATGTAAATGGAACCATACTGTATTCTTCTTGGCTGCTTCTTTCATTGAACAAGGGATTCATTCATGTTGCCTGTAGCTATACTTCATTCATCATCATTGTTGTATAATTTAACTTTGCAATAACATACCACAATTTATTCATTCTATTGACTGCAGACAATTCTGATGTTTTTAGTTTGGGGCAATCACAGTTCCCAATGAACATTATTATATGTATCTCCTAGTGCAGGTATAACTTAGGAATAGGATTGCTTTGTCATAGGATATTTATATCTTAAATCTTATTAGATAGTAACAGTTTTTCCTGAGCAGTAGAGATGTCCTGTTTCTCAGCTATGCATACACAAAACACAGTTTATTTTTGTATTATTAATTATTGTATTATTTTTTCATACAAGCAACTGTAAACCTACTTTTGTGCTGCTCTGTATATATATCTATCCATATATGTTTCTGAATTTTTTGGCTCCTTTTCTATACTTGTGTTATCTATTGTCTTCATCACTATAACAAATATATTGTTTTTTATATTTGGCAGAACTAGTCCTTGTTGTTCTGTAAGACTGTCTTGGTTATTCTTAGCTCTTTGTATTTTCACTTCTCAAATTTCTATTTGCAAATATGGAAATCTGTCACTCTTACAGTTTCCAATTGTCTTGCTGTCATTTTCAGTCTTTTATCTACCTGAACATGAAAACCATTATTTTATAGGCTGTGTTTAATGATTCCCAAAACTGAAATTCTCTTGGTCTTGTTTTTATTTTTCTTTTGTTTCTGCCAATCCTCATTTCTTATATTTGTGT